TGGTTGGGGTCACCACAACACAAGGGACTGTATCAAAGGGTCGAAGCATTAGAAAGGTGGAAAACCATTGTTTTAACACCATGTTCTCCCTGGGATGTATATGGATGGTATGATGAGTGCACAAATAACACATAGGATCTGTGGTAGGAATGGAGGGCTGAAATAGTACCAAATGAACTTAATAGAGACAGGGTCCCTGGTTGTTCAGGAGTTGTCATATTATTCTCTATGTTGCCAATTTCTAATTATATGTAGATGTGTCTGCATGTGGATATGTACATATGTGTTCAGGTTCCCTCAGAGGACAGAGGCATTGGATCCCTTTGATCTGGAGTTACAGAGGGCCCTGAGATGCCTGGTCTGGGTTTTGAGAACCAAATTCAGGTCCTCTGCAAAAGCAACAAGTACTCTTAACCACAGAGCAGTCTCTCCAGTCCCTACATTCATTATGTTTTAAATCTTTTCCCAAACCCTATGCAGATTGGCAATTATTCCTCCCCTCTCTCTCTCTCTCTCTCTCTCTCTCTCTCTCTCTCTCTCTCTTTCTGTGTGTGTGTGTGTGTGTGTGTGTGTGTGTACATGACTCTTCACAGCAACATTGTTCAGAGAAGCAAATGGGTAGAAACATCCCAGATGTCCAAATAAACATGAGCCTGCTATAGCCAGAAAAATATTATTGCAATTCTGGCACATGCTAGAATTTGGATGGACCTTGGGAGCATCAGGCCAAGGGAAGGAAGTTGACTTGAGAAGATCACATATTCTGCATTCCATTCACCTATAAATCTACAATACAGAACTCTGTAGACACCAAAAAAGAGACTAATGATTCCTTTGGGCTCTGCATAGGAGAAATAAATAAGACAATAGCTAAGGCATGTGAGGCTCTTCTTTGGCCCCAAACCTGACCTTGATGATAGGAGCACCACTTTGTGTATATATCAATAGGCTCTAAGGTTTATACTTTAAATGGATGCATTTAAGTGTATGTTATATCCACAAACTATATATTTAAAACACAGGCGCTATTTGTGCCAAATATAAAAATCAATCCAGGCCCTCATATGTTTATTTATGAAATAATTTTCTGGTAATTGAATGTTGGGAAGACTTACAACTCTTTCCCTTGGATGTTGGAGAGAAAAAGGAAACCATTTATTCTTTAATGAAGTATGTCTACATTCTGTAGAATTCACTGGTTGAGATTTTGCATAGTCCACTCATTTGTAGCTGTGTAGTTTGTGTGATGGAGAATATGTGCATGTGAAACATTCCCCATGCTATTTTTGAGACTTTACCCCTCAACACAAATGTTGGTTACACTATCTTATTCAGCCACTGGCACATCAGTATCATTACATACTCAATACCATGAGTGAAAATTTACTTTTGTACTTAGTTTCGTACAGTACCTCAGCGTTTTATTTATACACACGTTAGTGATTCACATTATATAGCTTAGTCCACATGTCTTGGAGAATTTTGTCTCTTGTTAAATCTGAACATGCAAGGCCTAGTGAGACCGCGCGGTGGCGCTGCAGGTTAAGGAGACAGAGCATAGGAAATACTTCTGCAATCTCCTCTCAGGGACAGTTTCTCACCACCTAGAAGTAAAAGATGTGCTCTCTTCAGCCAAAGCAAAGGCGAGTATAAAACCTAAAATATCTTATCTGGAGGCTTGATCCCGACGTTCTGGACTGTGGGACAGTGCTGTCAGCATCCTGGGCACAGGAAAAGCTACTGCGAAGCAAACAGGAAAGAGGAAAGAGCCATGGAGACTGCGTGGATGCACAAACCGAGACAAAGGCAAGTCCTGATTTTCTTTGTCTTGCTGAGTGTGTCTGAGGCAGGCACGGAGCTGGGTCCCTATTCCATAGAGGAGGAAATGAAGAGGGGCTCCTTTGTGGCAAATCTTGGGAAAGATTTGGGGGTGGAGCTGGAAAAGATATCTACCCGCAGGGCTCGGATCATTTCCCAGGAAAACAAAGAGCATTTGCAGCTCAATGTTCAATCTGGAGATTTGCTCATAAATGAGAAACTAGATCGAGAGGAGCTATGTGGCTCCATTGAGCCTTGTGTTCTTCACTTCCAAGTGTTAATGGAAAACCCTTTAGAGGTATTTCAGGCTGAACTGAGAGTGAAGGACATAAATGACCATTCTCCAGTGTTCAGTGAAAAAGAAATGACACTGAGAATACCAGAAAACAGCCCTCTGGGAAGTACATTCCCTTTAAATAATGCTCTCGACTCAGACGTGGAAATTAACAATATTCAGAGCTATAAAGTCAGCTCAAACTCTCATTTCCTGGTTGTAACCCACAACCGCAGTGATGGCAGGAAGTACCCAGAGCTGGTGCTGGAGAAAGAACTGGATCGGGAGGAGGCGCCTAAGCTGAGGTTAACCCTCACAGCCTGGGATGGTGGCTCCCCTCCCCGGTCTGGGATGGCGTGGGTTCTTATTGAAGTAGTGGACATCAACGATAATGCACCCGAGTTTCAGCAACCAACGTACCAAGTGCAAATTCCGGAGAACCGCCCCACGGGGTCCTTGGTAGTCACAGTCTCAGCCAATGACTTAGACG